CGGTGTATCATTATCCATAAAATATTGAGGGTAGTTACTCTTGCTGGAACTGTTTCTAATCAATTTATTTAATATATTTCAAGTACCTCTCATATTATTTTTATTATCCTCTAATACTTTAGAGTAATATTGTTTCTTACATCTCCTCAATAACGCAATTAATTTGTTCTTATATGACTTATATTTTTCTTCCAACTTCTTTGATCTGTCTTTTTTGAATTCCTTATATAACGCATTCTTCTTTTTACATGCATTCTGTAATCCCTTACTCATCCACGGTTTCCCACTGTAATTCCTTTTGTTTTTATACTGCTTACGAGGACAGTTCCTGTCATATACTTTCTTAAATATATTTAAAAATTGCTCATATGCTTTATCTAAGTCATCCTCTCTGTAAACTGATTCCCAGTTTTGCCCCATAAAATCCTCTTTTAGCCTCCTTACAGCATGTTCATTCGTCACCCTCCTATAGAAAAGATTTGTTTTTGGCCTCTCTTTTCTATACTGGCCCTCATAAACCACAAATATCATTTATAAGTAATCCACTAGACATTTTGCTGTCAATATCATTAGTAAATATATTATCTATTAGTGTTGCATGCTGGGTTGTTACTCTACTCGGTTTTGTAATTTTTGGGTATAAACTACATCTATATAATGTGTTAATAAACTCCTCAGTTGCTGTGTGCTTGTTAGGATTCAACAAATCTATATTAAAGTCACCACATATGAACATTAATTTATGACTTATTGACGAGTAATTTTCTTCCAGCCAGTCATTAAATTTTTCTATGCTGGCTCCAGGTGCTCTATAGATACAGCTTATTACAACATTCTTCTTTTTTTCCAAAAGTAGTTCAACAGTCACACATTCTTTCATCTTTACCCAGGACTGTGTGTAAAAAAGCAGGGATCACATCTAGTCACATCAAGTCATGCCCTTTCACTTGGATTCTTTCCACAGCAGAGATGTGAGTTCACACACACTACAATGCTGTAATTCTGTCCATTGTTATTGTCCCAAAAAGGCTCGCTATGTCCTCCTGGTAAATAACTTAAACAGAATTCTATCTTCCGTTTGGCATCTATCACTTTAGGAATAGCAACGTCAAATTCAAAGATGTCAGTCTGAGGTCCTCCGAAACGTTTCTGCAGGTACACACAGGGCACGTCTCTGTAGCTCTGCCATGAGTCATAGGTGATGCGCACACGCACATCTTTCTGGAAACTGATGCTCCTGACTCGGACCGTACCTTGAAGGGCCTGTTCAGTAACACTGCACTTCTCCAGGATAATCATGCTCTCTGCCAGCTTGGCACGAAAGGCTTGGAAATCAGCAGAGGGCTGTGGGAAGCCCAGTTTGAGCTGTGTTCCTGGGCAGCAGGTGCTGACGGTGCAGCTGTAGCCGTCCCCTGTCATGCTCCCCAAACCCTGGAGCCATGGCAGTAAGTCGAGGTCACACTGGTCCTCTTCATCAGAAAATTCTCGCACGGCTGTAAGAGACAGCCCTTTTGAGTCAGCAAAAACGACATGTTTATTCTTGTTTGGGATCAAAACGTCATCATCCAAGAAACCTGAGAGAGGGTGGGTCACATAGCCTTGGTTCAAGATGTCAGAGGGAAGCTGATCTGAAACTGGAGGACGGATGCAAGGGCGCTGGGGTTTCAGGATGGGAACCCACACGTGAGGACACAGTTGTTTACGTTGGTTCAAGCACAGCCTGACAGCAATCTCCACGAGCCCGGCTGACAGGGACCAACCTCCAACCAACGGCAGGACACTTGCAAAAAATACAGTGATTTCAATAAGACCTCTGCCTTCTAAGTGTGATTAAACTTTGGTATATACTACAACTGTGCTGCTGCTGCTGCTGGGTTGTGAGGTGCATTACGGAATGCATCACAAGATTAAGGTATGATAGTGACATAATTACAATTCACCCTCCTTTTTTAACAATAACTTAAGAAGTGATGCAAGAAAATTCACCGCACAACAGTAGAATCACCACACAATCATAAACACTTACTTTGTACTGGACATCTCTTGTGATGACTAGTGGGAAGTTTATCCTCTGTTTTGTTCTCAAATCTCAATAATCTATAAATTTTACTTGCAAGCTCTCATGAGCAGCACAATGTACTGTGCGGTCTCAGTCATCTCTTTGCCCTCACAACAACCCAACAACCTGGCACAGCCTATTTATAGTCATGTTGTATACTCCACCCTCTTCACTCTGCTGACCAATCAGCCCAGTATTGTACTTCTGTGTTCTGCTGTTTATAGATCTGCATATACCAGAGATTTTAGATACATTACAGTAACTGTCCATATTTTATATGTATGTGGTGTGATTCCTTATTTTACTCTCAAGCCAAAAACATATTACACCATTGTGTTTAGCTGTGATGATTCATGTAAAAGCAAAGCTCTGTATTGTTACAGCAGAAATGGCTATGGTCTACTCTACGTACAAGTATTTTGACTCCGCATTCTGGAAACTATCGCTGTCATCGAGGGCTTCTCAGACATTACAACAGACGCAGAGCCCACTGAGTCCAGGACTTATATCCAAGACCTCTGCTAGCTGGGTCGTATCCTGAAGGGATTGCTGTCCCATAACCCGTCAGCGTGAGGAAGGGCTATGTTACAAACCGCTCAGCATGACAGTCACCTAAATGGGGAATCAAATCCACTCTGTATTAATGGAGTAAAATGAAACACACACCACTTGTAGAAGTCCTAGATGTAGATGTATGTGGACACCAAAATTAAGGACGCTTTGATGACTTAACAATAAAGGGCTTACTAATCCTTCTAATGTATGACAAGACAAAAAGAATGGTGATTTAGGTCTAACAATAATGTCAGCCAGTCATAAATAATGAAATTACATCATTATCAGTAAATCATTATATTAGCTGGATCAGCAGTGCAGTACAAGAGGATTACACTCTGTTGACATGTACTTTGGTGTAGCAAAGCCCCGTCTTTCAGTGCCTCATTACTTCCAATTATTGTGGGATTTGTAAGGGCAAACAATATACATCGATCGCTCCCTCAGAAACACCTACATAACAATTACAACACTTAAATCTTCGAGAAGACAATGTTCAACACATCCCCTTAGAGTGAAACTGTAAAAAGCATATAAAACAACTATGAATTTGGTAGTCAAGGTGAGAAAATGCACAGAAAGAATGTTAACACGATTTCTATTATTTATAATGACAGTAATGCATTTAGGCGAGACTGGCACTGCCTAAAATAACTTTCTTTTAAATGTGCGCACACACACATGCACACTAACATGCGCCTTGGGCTGGTAAACTCCGTGCTACCAAGTGATCTGATGAAGTTTCACCTTCACGTCATTTGATGCATCCTGGTGTTGAGCAGCAGAAAAAAGTCCAGTGATGCAAATCATTTGGATACAGTGACGAATTAACACATTAGACAGTCTTCACCAGCCTCATGGGCCCCAACACACCAGAACACATTATAATGACGTAACTAAACTGTTGCGACATGATTTAAAATACTGAAAACTAACACCGGAGCACTGCAATACAGGGTTCAATCACAACCATCACTTCTCACTAGAAGTGAACTTCCAGTCAATGTTCATATTTTCCACAGAATTACACTTGTGCCATAAATGTCTCCAGAGGTTGGTCCTTAATCCTGACGACAGCAGTAAAGGACTTGTTTCCTGACATGATCTCTGCAGATCAAACTGGACGTTCCTTACTACCACAATGCAATGAATATCCACACCCACATGACCTATAACGTAAACATTACTACATGTTAGTTGTACTTCATTGTAAACTGTAGTCAGGTGAGATGAACAAGCTCAACATATTGTCAATATACTGTCGTTGGAAGAAGAGACATTTTTCTTTGATAATTTGTTGCCAAGAGACAATGAACAAAACAAAAATACAAGATAGCTAAACATAGTCTCTGCAAAGCAGCTGCTTATGTAAGATCTGCAGAAATGAATTAGCAGATGTCTGTGTAAAAGGGTGTGAGGGTAGTACTGAGTTAATGAGGAAGATGATAGTCAAACTTGTTGTTACTTACTTCCACATTCAAATTAACTGTACAGCTCCACTTGAAACAAGCGGTGCTATAGTTCGATACCGCATTAGGTGCTGGGATCCCTCTTCAAGATCCACAACGTACTCTCTGATAGAAGAGACATGGCAGAGATCAGAACAGTTGTTTTAATATCTATGCAGAAAACCAGAGCAGTACTGAATGTGAGGTAACACTGCCACCTATTGGGTTTAAAAAACTGACAAGTAAAATGTAGATGAACCAAGTACCTCTGATCATCTGTATCAGGTTCGACCAAGATGTTTTCCTGTCTCTCCTTCACCCGCAGAAACACAAAGGAGTCCAAGCAGGGCTCAGGCACTGAGATTACATTAGAATATGTGGGATTTACTGTGATGGTCAGAGAAAATGTCACCCTCTGCCAGTGCATGCTAATGGCAGTATTTCAGTCATGGGTCATCCAAGATCAAACAAATGCAGTAGGAGGAGAAGCTGCGAGGTAAAACTAGAGGAGATGTTACCTGCTTGGAGCATATCCACTGTCTGCAGGTTGGGGGGCATGCGTTTCAGAGCTACAGCCTTCAGGTAGGTTTCTGTGTTGGCGTAGTACCTGTGCACTCAAATGAACATAATTTTAATCCCAAGTGTCATGAAAACAGCTGAGGTTTAGACAAACAATCCCAGCTTTATTAAACTATACTCACTCTTTGGCAAAGGTAAACTCCTCAGGTGAAAGCAGAGAGGGATCTCCCTCACCCCGAGACTTTTCTTTCTCCAGGACATGCGGGAAAAACTTTTCAATCTAGACACATGTAGCACAAACATCTGGTAATTTTGTTCAACGGGCACTTGGTGAGAGGAGAGCGTTACTTTGGAGGCTCTACTATTGACTTGACTGACCTTCTGCAGACGGGAGCGCAGGTAGCTGCTGAGAACAAAGCGGATTCTGTCTATTTCCATGTGATGGACGCTGGCCTTGGCATCACCCTTCTTCACCCGCTGCAGGTTAGCTTCCTGTCAGCATAAAGGTCACAACAACGCTGTCAGAAAGCAACATTTCTTTTGTTCAGTATATCTTAGAATAAACCAGAAAAACAAATGTTTTGCTATATGTTAGAATATGACTGTTTTACTAGAATTCATTCATTGTACGTTGATTAAATGTGTTTAATGCTTGAATGAATCCGGATCTAGTACTTGGACTCCAACAGCACCAATGTAATCTAAGTCACACATCTACAAATATTTGATACTCATCATGGTTACATTTTGAGTAACATTACTTGAATATATCAACCTCATCCCACTTCATGTTTCCAATTCACTACATTTCTTGTACTTTTCACTTACTGTACTTTAGACCATACAGAACAGAATATAAAAGGGTATTGCACAGCACCATAGAGTAAAACTGCCTTGACTACTTTTACTTTTGATATTTTAAGTACACCTTGCCATTACTGAATGATGCCCTCTACATATGGTATGCCACTTTAATCCAAGTTCAGTGGCAGGTCTTTGTTTTTTTTTAACAAAGCGACATTAGTACTTTCACTGGACCGAACGGTGAATGACCTGAATACTTTTTCCAGCGTTGCAGTTTAATTAACCATGAAAACAATCGTTGGCTGCAGCCCTACACTGTACTTCCTTTACTCTCTTGTTTGTGACATTTAGAAAAGTAGGCAGACTCTTGAGTCTGTCTGAACATGCAGAACCCACACAGCAGGAGGTATTCCCCAATACATTTACCATGTGAGTCAGCTGCTCCATCACACACTCCACCACCTCCGATTTGTTCTCTAGCAGCTCTGGTGAGAACTTCTCGTTCAGCCAAGCCTGCGAGGTACACAGAGGAATACAACTGTGAAGATACTGGTGCGCTACATGTCGAATGGGGACAATTTGGTTAACATCAGCTCACTTCTTCCAGTTTGGCGATCAGCTCTGCCGGGGTCATAACATCCTCCTGACTGTCATCCTGGTTAATGTCGCTACCATCATCAGACAAACCACCCGACATAGTTTCCCTTTACGGAGCACAAAGTTACAACACCGACCTTAACAAAAACAACAATTGTGCGTTTAATCTTCAACTCAAGTTTGTACAGAGCCGCGCGTGTTTACTCAACTCCTAGTGTATTCGCGCCACTGCAACTCTTCTCGCGAGATATACACATATACTTGCTTCCCAGCGTTGGGCCTGTAAGGCAAGAATCCCAAGAGTTTGTGACTACTATGTACTATTGTAGGACGGGTTTTATAAAACATGCTTTAGTTTTAGATCTTAAGGCTTCTGTTCCTTTTGTGGTTGATCAAGACCTGTGTCTTTGCCACTGTAGAAGGCTGGATTTTAATACTACGTTGGAGTAGTGCTTCCTGAGAGTCTAAAGTCAGGGAAAATAAATTTTGTGCAGCGCTCTTAGAATATGTGGTAATGTAAATGTGTAGAGTCCCACACACATATAGAGATTCCCAGAGTTAACAGGTCATGTCTCCTCTGCACATCCCTCTCTTTCACACTTTATCTCTGCCAGCTAGTGTGAATTTAACAGAATCTTCATTTCTCCAGGTGATTCAGGCCACATGTGGCTTGAAGCTGAATCCCATTTGTCTTTATCTTTATCACTTATTTTCATCAATTATCTTGTATTTTTGTGGTGGCAGTGCCACTAGTCTATAGTGATGTTCAGTGTCACACATCACATCAACCTCCTCTGGACCTACCTGTGCCACATTAGCGGTTTAGGTAAATGGTAAGTGGTCTTATACTTGTATAGCGCTTTTCAAGGCTTTACAGCACACCCAAAGCGCTTTTACACTACTTGGCCATTCACCCATTCGCACTCCCAAACACTCACACATCGGTGACATCACCGGGAGCAACTGGGGGTTCAGTTATTTCAAGTATTTCCTAATCCTCTGGTTAGGAAATGACCCGCCCTACCTCCTGAACCACAGCCTCCCCCAGGAAGAAGGTGGGGGGGGGGGGCCCGAGGAGCTGCAGTCACTTTGTAAAGCAGATCAGCAGACAGTAATAGCACGGGTGGCATTCATACTAAGAAGCCTAGTTTGTGCTCAAAAACAGCACAGAGTAAACTCTGAATGCAAAGTAAAGACTTAAGAAAAGGGATTGCAGTTGCACTGTGCTAAAATAATACTTCTTTGTTTTCAGTTGCGAAATTGTGCTTGAACCACTGCCTATTTTGTCATTGTTTTCTAACTCATACATGTCCTAAATTAGTGTCTTTCTACTACTGACCTACTCATGTAAACCTGTTAAATAATAATGACCACTCTATCCAACTTGTCTCTAAATAAAGACTCCCCTGACAATCTTAGAGAATCCACTTTAAAATGCCCCAAACTATTTTGATTTCTTTTATATCCCAGAAGTTTCAAACTTCCTGATGACATGAAATAAAGCAGATTTGTACATGAACAGTAAATGCACATATTGCTTCTAAAATTCCCATTCCCTGTCTTTGATGCAGCATTGCAAACCCGGTTTAGTTTCGCTGAGGTCCATGAAGTCAGACGCAGGTGAGGAACTGCAGGGTAACATTATCAACATCATTCAGTTCAGTCAGTGTAACATCTGGCCCAGTTTGGAGCTGGTGTCATTGCATTGCTTCTCAGTGTGTTTCTCAAGTTTTATTCACATGGATCTTATACACGACATGCTTTTCTTAATGTAGCAGCCCCTAAGCACGAAGACCAGAGTGTATTTTAATGCATCTGAAAGATTTCAGTGTGACGTTAGTTTGGTTTGTGGGTTTAAATAATAATTTACTGCACATAGTCTAGTTTAACCTTCCCAAATGACAACTTTCTTCTCTAAACAGAAGTGATGTTTCACTTTGGAAACGTTTAAAAAAAAAAAAGAAAGAAAGACGAGTGTCTGGATTTTTAAAACCAGTGACAGGGAACACTGTAAAATTACATTCACAAAATACAGTATAAAAGGTTTTTCTCTACGAGCTTTCTTTTTATGTAAAATAAGTAATGAGTGAGTCAAACAGACTGGTGATCAGTGATCAGGTGATTGTCCTGAGATGAAGATGTCACCCACACACAATGAATTTATCTGCTGTACACAAATTCATAAAAAAAAAACAGTATTGTATAAGGGCAAAAACTCAAGTATGGCTCTATATTTTGTGGTTTTTATTTTCAGGATGCCAATGCTGTGGCGATCACATGGCCTGATGTCAAGTCACTACAGTGAATGAGAGAGTACCTGGTGGATCAGCCCCCGTCAGACTTTCGGAGGATGCCGACTGCTTGTCTCTCTTTGCCATTATGACCCATCAGCCCACAGGCGGCTGTAGGATGCAGGTTGGTAGTATGGGTGCAGGTTGTGGCGGGGATAAAGAGAGGCCGAGATGCCATGGTCTTGCAGCAGCTGCAGGAATCACAGAGCCACTAATGTTGGTGTGTGTGTGTGTGTGTGTGTTTATGGGTGTGTCACTGGTATATAGCAGTAGAGGACAGATTATTTAATATCATCTGTGCGCTGGTTGCTTGGCAGCTCGTGGGAGAGGGAGAAGAGATGGGTGCCATCTTTTCTGTTGACCAGTAAATTGTGTGGATTTTTGCAGAGTGTTCTACATTATGACTGACTGGTAAGATGATGGTTTGCTTCTTCAATAAGTGACCAAACATAGGAAGCCGAGCTTGTTTGGACAAACAGACCTGCCTTCTCTACTGCTCAGCAG